GAGGTGGCATATGATCAAGAACCAATGGTATTGAAGGAAGAAGTCAAAGCTGCACTGAAGGAACTGGCAAAGAACAAGGCTCCAGGAATTGATGGAATACCTATTGAGATGTTTCAACAAACAGATGCCCTACTGGAGGCACTCACTTGGCTATGCCAAGAGATTTAGAAGACAACTACCTGGCCAACTGACTGGAAGAGATCCATATTTGTATCCATTCCAAAGAAAGGTGATTCCAAACAATGTGGAAATTACTGAACAGTATCATTAATATCACATGCAAGTAAAATCTTACTGAAGATAATTCAAAAATGGTTGCAGCAGGATATTGACAGAGAGCTTCCAGAAATGCAAGCTGGATTCAGAAGAGGATGTGGAATGAGGGATATCATTGCTGATGTCAGATGGCTCTTAGCTGAAAGCAAAAAATACCAGAAAGATATTTAGTTATGTTTTATTGACTATGCAAAAGCATTTGATTGTGTGGATCACAACAAATTATGGATAACATTAAGAATGGGAATTCTGAACACTTGATTGTACTCATGAGGAACCTGTACATAGATCAGGAGGCTGTCATTCAAACAGAACAAGGGAATACTGCATGGTTTAAAATCAAGAAGGGAGTGCATCGAGGTTGTATCTTTTCATCACACTTGTTCAATCTGTATGCTGAGCAAATAATCCAAGAAGTTGGATTATATGAAGAAGAATTGGAGGAAGACTCATTAACAACCTGCGATACACAGATAACACAACTTTGCTTGCTGAAAGCAAGGATGACTTGAAGTACTTACTGATGAATATTAAAGACTACTGTCTGCAGAATGTATTACACCTCAATATAAAGAAACAAAAATCCTCACACTGGTTCAACAAGCAGCTCCACAATAAATGGAGAAAAGATTGAAGTTGTCAAGGACTTCAAATTACTTGGTTCTACAATCTACACCAATGGAAGCAGCAGTCAATACATCAGACAATGTATTGCATTGGGCAAATCTGCTGCAAAAGACCTCTTTCAAGTGCTGAAAAGTAAAGATGTTTCCTTGAAGACAGGTGTGCCTAACCCAAGCTATGGTATTTTCAATTACATCTTATGCATGTGAGAGCTGGACAATGAATAAGGATGACCAAAGAAGAGTTGATGCTTTTGAGTTGTGGTGTTGGAGAGGAATGCTAAGAGTACCATGGCCTGCTAAAAGGACTACCAAATCTATTCTGGAAGAAGAGTAGCCAGAATGGCCAGACTTCATCTCACCTACTTTGGTCAGGTTGTCAGAAGGAACCATTCCTTGGAGAAGGATATCATGTTTGGTAAAGTAGAAGGTCAACGAAGAAGGGGAAGGACCTCAATGAGATGGATTGACACAGTGGCTACAATGATGGACTCAGGTATAGCAAGAATCATGAGACTGGCACAGGACTAGGCAGTGTTTCATTCTGATGTGCATAAGGTCGCTATTAGTCGGAGATGACTGGACAGCACCTAACAACAACAATGTCACAGAACTGTACATGTAGAAATTGGCTGATTGGTATATGTTCTACTGTGTATATTTTCAACAATAAATTAATATATATATACATATATATTCCACAGTGCCTCCTAGTCAGCCTGTGTTACAGTGCATGGAACCAGCAATGTGAGAAGGTCATTAGAGATGATGGGACCAAACTCTTGAGAGACCAAATTGAGAGTTTATTTAGAAATTGAAATAATAGCACAGAACTGGAAATATCAGAGCTCATTGGCTCAAACTCTTAATACAGCAATTTCTTCCTCAACTTCCAAACTGTGGTTTTCTACCCTCTGTGTGCAAACTGTAACAAGGCCTTACCATCTCAGAAGGAACCTATACCTTGACTAAGAAATCCTACCCCCTACACTCCACTGCCACAGCCGTCACTTTCCTAGTATTTCTTTGTGTAGCTACAACTAACAATGCCTCTTCCAGGCCAGACCTATGGGAGATATACAGACTACCCTCTCAAGTTTCCTTTCTTCAGCCTAATTCTTATCATGACTGTCAACTACAACCAACTGGACACAGTTTCCATGGCTATTATCCTACTTCTTCTCAAGTGCTTTGCCTGAACTCCATGTAGTCTGTCATGATCTCCTGTAAAATATGGTATCCAAGCTAGAAAAACATCTACTTAGAAGCCTAATCAATCCTCAAGAGCTTAGGTAATCTTTTATCACTGTAAAAGGCTGTCAAATGTCTTTTGTATTGATATAAAACTGTTTACAACTACTGGATAGACAGACAGGTAGATGATGGATGGATGGATTAACATGTCCAGGCAAGGTGTGGAAAATAACCTTTATTGCTTGAGTGCTAGCTAGTCCCTTCATCCTCCTTCATTCCATTGAAATGACAGCTGCTACTATGTCCATGGTCATTTCTTCTCCCTGAAAAACAGAACAGGAATTGGCAAAAAGCAATCTGAGCTCTGTTACTCAGAGTTGCCTTCTTCCTTTGTCTTTTAGCTCAGAGCCACACACACCACAGTATTTGTTCCCAGATCAACAACAGCAAAAGGAAGTCTCTGAAACATTTCCAAATTTGGGGACCTCACTTTCATATAAGAAACTCTGCTGGTGCAGTGCATAAGACATTTACCTGCCAACCAGAAGGTTGGTGGTTCAAACCCAGCAGCTTCTCCATGTGAGGAAGATGAGGCAATTTAATTCTGTAAAGATTTACAGCCTTGGAAACCCAATAAAGGTGCTATGAATCAAAAGGACTCAGTAGCAGTGGGTTTGTTTTTTGTTTTTTGTTTTTTGTTTTTTTGGTTTGGTGATACAATGGTTAAAGCATTTGGCTGCTAACAAAAAAGTCAGCAGTTCAAACCCACCACCAGCCACTTCATGGGAGAAAGATGAGGCTTTCATAACAATGTACAGCCTTGTAAACCCTGTGGAGCAGTTCTACTCTCTCCTAAAGTGTTGCTATGAGTCGGATTCCACTCTATGGCAGTGGGTTTGGTTTTGGTCATTTCCATATTATTCCCTTCCCACATTTCCCTTTCTTCCAGAAGACTATATCCATGATCTAAAGTGAGAGCTCAACTCAGACTAAAGACTCTCAGACCCCAAACCTCTAATCCTACCAGGCCCACTGACCTATTTTCAGGCCAATCTTGGCCCTTAAAGTTGTGCTGAGGTCTCTCTGTACAGAAGGACCTCTAGCAGTATTTAATCCTAGGTCAATTAGAATTTAGATCAATCATGCATACACCGAGAGAGTTTCCAGTCAAAACTTCACCTTCTAATTGATGTAAATTGAGGCAAATCCTTAGAAAAAGTGGATGCAGCTGCAGAGTAACTCAGTATACCCTCCCACCACCACAACTCTTCAACAGACCCTACCCTGAGATCCCTCTGGGCTCTCTTTGGTAGGCTCAGAGACTATGTGGGCCCCAGACCTTACCTTTCCCAAGAGAAAGCCACATCAGCTTGCAGGATCTTCTGGCCCATGAATCTCAATTGCTGGGCAGAGATCAAAATAGAGAAAATACTTATTAATGAAGAAAACAGCTCTGTCAGCCCTTGGAAATTCTCAGAACTTCCTGTGGGAGCTGGAAATCTCTGGACAAATCCTGCTGTACAGACATGACTTATTAGATTCCTGAGTCAGAAGAAAGGGCCCCAAGTTACTCCATAACCCGCCCCAATTCAGTTGTTTCTTGAGTGGATAAGGCCCCAAATCTCCCTTATAGGGACATGAGCCTGGACAGGAGAGCCTGTACTAGCTTGGAGAAGGCAAAGTTCCCACAACACACCCAGCCCCTGCTCACTTCCTGTCCTTTGGAGAATGAAACACACAGCCTGGACATTGGCTCCAGGGTCTCTTCATGCCAAGTTCTTCTCTCGTGGGCTGCTGGTTCTCATCCTCATTTTCTTCTTGCTCCTCTTCCTCTTCCTCCTCGTCTTCCTCCTGGGTGTTCTCAGATTCCACATTGCCTGTAAGCTGAGCCATGGTGAGATGAAAGACACGGCAGCTGAAGCCCTCCCTGACCCCATACTGCACGTGCTCCTGGAGATTCTCCAAGGTGGTGAAGACCCGGCAGCAGGCCATGCACCTGAAGCCATTCTCAATGGTCACCAGCCAATCAGGTGTCCCAGCCCTGGATCTCTCCTCAACTGCAGGTGACCGTGGTGGGCTGTCTGACTCTGCCCTTTCCTGGTGGTCTTTCTCCTCCCCACTGGGCTCGCTGTCAGATAAGAGGTTTCTGGTTGACACATCAGAGGGAGGCGTATCTACCTGCACCTCCTCAGGAAGAGTCACTTCTTCCATTCTCGGCTGCCTTTCCACTGATTCTGAGGATTCCTCTGTTTCCCAAGAGACAGCCACACCTTTTTTCATTTGTACCTGCATGTAGTATATTTTCAGGCCCCTTTCCTCTTTGTTTTCATGCCAGGAAGACACACAGGTCTTATAGGATGAAGGGGAAGACACGGAGACATGTTGTGAGGGTGAAGGATTCCCCCCTCGTTCCTGAACCCAGGCTAAGGGTGATCTAGGCCTGAGGCTGTCTTGATGTATTTTCTGGACTCCTGGGAAAGAAAATTAGAAACATGAAAGGACACATGTGGAGCATGCCAAAAGTGAGGTAACATAAGTGAATAAGTGTGATATAAAACAGTGAGAATATGGTGTGATGAGGTTGAATGATCTGGATATTTGTTGTTCATATTATAAGGTGGTGTGTCTGGTGTCACTGTAGGATTTTCATCTGTGTGCTAGAATACTGAAGATATGTCTGTTAATAGGTGTGTGTAGTTGATGGGGAAGGGAGAAGTGTGCATGAAATATTTGTAAGCTGTACATGCTATAAGAAGGATGTGGGTTTATGACATTTTTAAGATATGATTTGTAGAACATGGGCTGTTGTGCAGAAAAAGGTGGCATTGTGGGTTATATATTTGGGCTTTGTGTGGCTGCGGAGTGGGGGTATATTGTTAGGTATCAGCCTGAGCTTAATAGTCCTGCTGCAGTGCAGCAGGTGAGTGCCTTCTCTGGAAGGCAAAGGCAAAGTCCGCTCAGTTCATTGAAGATGCTTAATCTGGTCCATCTGGCCTACACCACCTATACTGCCTACATCTGGCCCCTCCTCACTAACTTCCCACCTTGCTCAAACAGGACTTATGCTGTCTCACACTAAACTCATATTCATTGTCTCCTAACATATCCTTGGCAGGGTCCTGACCCCTCCGATTGCCCTAGGATTCTCTATGTCTTAAGCTGGGTTTCCCTTGGATTTATGTCCCTCCCACTCCATATCCAAGAACCCAGCATCTAAGGACCCCCGCACTCTTACCACCAAGTTTGTGGGGAGAAGAAACACAGGAGAAGTATTCAGAAGCAGAGGAGACTTCCCCTACCACCAGGCTCCAGCCTTTGGTCACCCCAGTGGATTCAGGCTTAGAGACGTCTTCTTGGGACTTCGAGACTCCTGACAAAAGTATGAAAGCCACAGAGATACAGTGGACTGGGTGTGTTCATGTATCATTCATTCACCCAAGAAATATTCATTATCTGACATGTGGCAGGTGTGATGAATCCACATGCCCACCTGGGCTTACAGTCTGGTTTAGTATTTAATTATAGTTTATTAGTGTGATGTCAGGAGTGGGCCTGTGTAGTAACTGTGAGTATCTCTGAAGTGTGAGAGTGATGTGTGTCAGCTAAGCCTTGGGTAGGTGTGGTATGGTGTGAAGGTGTGTATCTGTGTCTATGAAGAATTTGAGTTTACAACTCAGGAATATGCAACATTTCCTAATTACATATTGTGATTTGGTTCATTTACTAATTCAACCAATATTTAGTGAGCAACTACAATATATCAGATACTATTCCACTATTCTAGGCAGGAGTGTAGAGAGGGTAACAAGTGCCCAAGGGTAATCTCTAAATTGCACTCCCCTTCAATTCAAGATGACTAGACATTGATAATGGTGACACCTCAACAGAAATGTCTTCTCCCCTCTTATCCAGCTGTCTCAGTCCAGCCTTTCATATATGTGGCACCTAAGAATGTCATTCTGTGCCTCATTTGTTGCCTTCTTGGACTTGCACCTGGGAGCAATTGCCACCCTCTGCTCCCTCCTCACTATGCCTCTTTGTCTACCTCACTTGAGTTAGTACATTGGGCAGTTCTGGGTTAATAGAATCTTCTCAGTGATGTTCCCTTCAAGTGACACTCCCCTTCAAGTGGCACACAGGGTACATGCCAAACCTGTCCTACCTTAGATACATTTCTGATTCTAAACTCTGATAATACTGAACAAAACAAAGTCCTTCTTCTCATGGAGCTTCCATTCTAATAGAGAAAGACAGACACTAAACAGAAACACAGTAAATACATAATATGACAGCTGATGGTAAACATATATGCTGTAGGATTACCAGATTTAGCAATTAAAAATACAGGATGTCCAGTTAAATTTGAATTTTAAATAAACAATAATTTGGGAGCTGGGGCAGTTATAAGTATGTCCTCTGCAACATTTGGAACATACTTATACTCAAAAATTATTTATTATTTATATGAAATTAAAATTTAACTGGGCATCTTGTATTTTATCTGGCAACTGTAATAAGGGGATGGTGGTGAACCTGTGTTTTATTGTGGCTTGTAAAAAGTGAGTCTGGTACAATTGCACAATGTGGTATGGATATGTTATTTATGGCATGTGATTTGCTCTTCTAGAGATATTTAGAGATAGTTTAAGGTAGATAGTGTAAGGTAGCTGTGTTTGTGTGAGCACTGGGTATATATATAAAGATATATATATTTATATATCTCAAACATATAAATCAAAACCAAATCCACTGCTATCAAAATGATTCTAAGTCATAGCAACCAAACAGAGTAGAACTGCCCCATAGAGCTTCCAAGGGTGTAAATCTTTATAAGCAGACTGCCTTATCTTTCTCCCATGGAGCAGCTGGTGAGTTTGAACCACCAACCTTTTGGTTAGAAGCCAAATGTTTTAACCACTACACCACCAGAGCTCCTACAACATATTTGTACCTGTGTGTGTGTGTGTATACACACACACAAAGAAAAAGTTTTGGTGGTGCAGTGGATAAAGTGCTTGGCTGCTAACAAAAAGGTCAGTGGTTCAAACCCACCAGCTGCTTAACATGACAAAGACATGACAGTCTGCTTCTGTAAAGATTTACAGCTTTAGAAACTGTGGGACAGTTCTATTCAGTCCTATAGGGTTGTATGAGTTGGATTTGACTAGGTGGCAATGGGTTTGGTTTTGGTATATAAATCTTCAACATAAATGTATGTCCCTGGGTGGCACTCGATGAAGAAGCAGCTCTAGTGGTACATGGTTAAGCAGTAGGCTGTTAACGGAAATGTTGGCAGTTCAAACCCACCAGCCATTCTATAGGAGAAAAAGCAATCTGCTTCCATAAAGATTTACAGCCTTAGACACCCTATCGGGCAGTTCTACTCTGTCCTGTAGCATTACTGTGAGTCAGAATAAGTTCAACAGCAGTCAGTTTGAGTACAACTACTAATAAAAATAAGAGTTGGTGATTTGAACCTACTCACAAGTGCCTCAGAAGAAAGGCCAGGCAATCTACTTCTGAAAGATCTCAGCCTTGAAAATCCTGTGGAGTTCAGTTCTACTCTGAAACACATGGAGTTGTTGAGTCAAATCTGACTCAATGACAGTGAGTTTGGTATTTTTGTTATATATGTGTGTGTGTGTGTGTGTGTGTTGTTGTTGTTGTGGTTATTGTTCTTGTTGGGTGCCATTGACTCTGACTCATAGTGACCCTATGTACAACGGAATGAAACACTGCCCAGTTGTGCACCATCCTCACAATCCCTGCTATACTTGAGCACATCATTGCAGCCACTGTGTTGTTCCATCTCGGTGAGGGTCTTCCCCTTTTTCATTCACCCTCCACTTTACCAAGCATAATATCCTTCTCCAGGGAATGGTCCCTTTTGAAAACATGACCAAAGCAAGTGAGATGAAGTCAGGCCATTCTGGCTTCTGAGGAACATTCCAGCTGCACTTCCTCCAGGACAGATCTGTTAGTTCTTTTAGCAGTCCCTAGTACTTTTAGTATTCTTCATCAACACCATAATTCAAAGGCATCAACTTTTCTTCACTCTTCCATGATCATTGTCCAGCTTTCACATGCATATGAGGTGATTGAAAATACCGCAGCTTAGGTTGCTCACACCTTAGACTTCAAAAAGACATCTTTGCTATTCAACACTTTAAAGAGGTCTTTTGCAGCAGATTTGCCCAGTGCAATATGATGTCTGATTTCTTAACTTCTGGTTCCATGAGTGTTGATTGTGGATCCCAGTAATATGAAATCTTTGACAACTTCAATCTTTTCTCCATTTATCCTGATGTTGCTTATTGGTCCAGTTGTGAGGATTTTTGTTTCTTTTATGTTGAGATGTAATCCATACTGCACTCTGTAGTCTTTAATCTTCGTCAGTAAATGCTTCAAGTCTTCTTCACTTTCAGTAAAAAAAAGTTATGTCATCTGCATATCTCAGGTTGTTAGAGTCTTCCTCCAACCCTGATGCTGGGTTCTTCTTCATATAGTCCAGCTTCTCGAATTATTTGCTCAGCATATAGATTGAGTAAATATGGTGAAAGCATACAACCCTGATGCATACTCTTCCTGTTTTATATATATACATACACACACACACACACACACATATATATACATATGGGAGCTCTGGTGGTGTAGTGACTAAGGCATTTGACGGCTAACCCGAAGGCTTGCAATTCAAACCCACCAGCCACTCCTCAGAAGGAAGGTTGGACAATCTACTACCGTAGTGATACCGCCTGGGACACCCAAGGAGGGGTCATTATGAGTCGGATCTGATTCCAGGGCAGGGCATTTGGTTTTTGGTTTAGATATACATAGATATACATATGTATATCTGTGTGTGTGTGTGTATATATGATTGATATATACATAAATGTAAACAAAAAACAAACATATATATATAAACAAAAACACCAAATCTACTGCCATCAAATCGATTCCAACTCATACCAACCCTGTGTGTTTCAGAGTTCCATTTGGGTGTGTGTGTATTCCTTGATTTAGAATATATTCGAGCTTAGCTACAGTTTGAACCCACCAGCTGCTCCACTGGTGTGTTTCAGAGTAGAACTGCACTCCATAGACTTTTTAAGATTGTGACCATTAGAAGCAGAATGCCTGGCTTTTCTTCTGAGGCACCTGTGGGTAGGTTTGAACCACCAACTCCCTTTTTGTTGATAGTTGAGTGCTCAAACCTATCGCTGTTGAGTCAATTCTGACTCATGGCAATCTTATAGGATAGAGTTGAACTGTCCCTATAGGGTTTCCAAGGCTATAAATCTTTATGGAAGCAGACTGCCTCATTTTTCTGAGAGGAGCCGATTGGTTCAAACAGTTCACCTTTTGATTAGCAGCTGAATGCTTTAACAACTCCACTACAAGAGTTCCATTTGTTTGTGTGTGTGTATGTGTGTGTGTGTGTGTGTTCCTCAATTTACAACGTATTTGAGCTTAGCTGCAGTTTGAACCCATCAGCTGATCCACAGAAGAAAGATGTGGCAGTCTGCTCCTATAAAAATAACAGTCTTGGAAACTCTGTGAGGCCATTCTGCCTATGAGTCAAGATCAATTGGAAAGAACACAATAACTATATACATCTCCAGAGTTTGATGTGGGAAGAGAGGGCTGTGAAGCACATGGGTTGTACATGAATACTGAATAAGTGTGGGGTGTGTATGTAACTATATATGTGTTATGTGTGGTTTATTAGAGAAGTTGCATGTGGAGGTGTATAATTATTTTTCTTTACTACAGCATATGGGAGAAACTTGCTCTTGAACAGAGTAGCTAAAGCAAATGAAAGAAATGATAAAGTAAAAGAGCTGAACAGATGATTTCAAAGGGCAGCTCAAGAACACAAAGAGAAGTATTATAATGAAATGTGCAAAGACTCAGTTAGAAAATTGAAAGGGAAAAACACACTCAGCATTTCTCAAGCTGAAAGAAAATTCAATCCTCGAGTTGTAGTACTGAAGAATTCTATGGGCAAAATATTGAATAATGCAGGAAGCATCAAAAGAAGATTGAGGGAATACAGAGTCACTGTACCAAAAAGAATTGGTTGATGTTCAAACATTTTAGGAGGTAGCAAATGATCAAGAACGAATGGTGCTTAAGGAAGCAGTCCAAGCTGCACTGAAGGAATTGGCATAGAACAAGATGCCAGGAATTGATGGAATATCGATTGACATGTTTCAACAAACAGAAGCAATGTGGGAAGCTCTCACTCCTTTATGCCAAGAATTGGGAAGACAGCTGCCTTGCCAACTGAATGAAAGAGATCCAAATTTGTGTTTATTCCAAAGAAAGATGAGCCAATAGTATGTGGAAATTCTTGAATAATATCATTAATATTACATGCAAGTAAAATTTTGCTGAAAATAATAAAAGAACACCTGCAGTAGTGCATTGACAGAGAACTGCCTGAAATTCAAGACAGATTCAGAAGAGGACATGGAATAAGGGATATAATTGCTGATCTCAGATGGATCTTGGCTGAAAGAAAATACCAGAAAGATTTACTTGTGTTTACTGTGTTTCATTGACTATGCAAAGGCATTTGTGTGGATCACAACAAATTATGGATAACATTGTAACAAATGGGAACTCCAGAATACTTAATTGTGCTCATGAGGAACCTGTTTATAGAGAAAGAGGCAATTGTTCAAATAAAAAAAGGTGATGCTGCATGGTTTAAATCAAGAAAGGCATGCATCAGAGTTGTATCCTTTCACCATACTTATTTCTTCTGTATGCTGAGCAAATCCAAGAAGCTGGCTATATGAAGAAGAACATGGGATCAAGATTGGAGGGAGATTTATTAACAACCTAAAATATGCACATGACACAGCCTTGCTTGCTGAAAGTGAAGAAGACTTGAAGCACTTACTGATGAAGATCAAAGTCTCCACATAAAGAAAACAAAAATCCTCACAACTGAACCAATAAGCAACATCATGATAAATGGAAAAAGGATTAAAGTTGTCAAGGATTTCATTTCACTTGTATCCACAATCAGTGTCCATGCAAGCAGTAGTTAAGAAATAAAACAACCTATATGCAATGATGGGTCTCTCCTTGTCCAGACCAAAGAAGAATGAAGAAAACCAGAAATTAATTGAAAAAATTAGTCCTACCAACTGGTACACTATCCAATCGACAACCTATATGACTATGAGAACAAAAGAACTAGATGGTGCCTGGCTACCACTGTCAACCACTTGGAAGGGGATCTATGTAGGAGATCCTGGATAGAGAGGGAGATCAACGTGGAACAAAATTCAAAACCATTTGAAGAAAAAAAAAAGGGGAGGGGGAGACTAGGTTTGTTGGTCGACAGAGCCTGGTGGAACCACTGAAACTATGGCCCCTAGCTCCCCTTCAGGTCTGGAACTGAACCCATACCTGTGGCTTCCAGCCAAACAAAAGACAGGTATATGAGTTGAACATTTACCTGAGGTAGATACACTCCTTGGAAAGAACAATCATGGGAGAAAGAAGGGCTACTTATATACAGGGAGACAGCTCAGGGGGCAGGAGTGCATGGAGGGATGGACAAAAGGAAGAGGTAACTATCAGGAGGAAGTGAGAGGGGAACTGTTGCATTGTGGTAAATTGTGGTCAATGTCATGAGACAAAGTGTATGTGAACTGCTGTATGAAAAGTGAATTTGCTCTGTACATTCTCACCCAAATCACAATAAAAAGAAAGAAAACAACATATTGCATTGAATAAATCTGCTGCGAATATTTAAAATATTAAAAAGCAAAGAAATCACTTTGAAGACTAAGGTGTGCCTAACCTGAGCCATCGTATTTTCAATCACCTCATATGTATGTGAAAACTGGACAAAGAATAAGGAAAACCATTGATGCATTTGAATTATCGTGTTGGCAAAGAATATTTAATATGCCATGGACTGCCAGAAGAACAAACAAATCTGTCTTGGAAGAAGTATAGCTGGAATGTTCTTTTAAAGAGAGAATTGCCAGGCTTCATCACATGTACTTCATTCATGTTATCAGGAGGGACCAGTCCCTGGAGAAGGATGTCATGCTTGGTAAAGTAGAGGGTCAGCAAAAATCAGGAAGACCCTCAATGTGGTGGATTGACACAATAGCATAAACAATGGGCTCAAGCAAAGCAACAATTATGAGGATGGTGCAGGACTGGACAGTGTTTCCTTCCATTGCACATAGGGTCACTATGAGTCATATCCAGCTGGACAGCACTTAACAACAACAACATGGGTGTACGGATGCTTGTTTCATGGAAGACATTTAACAAGAGTTTTGTACGTGTTTTTTATGTATTGAGTGTCATCCAGTCCCATGCATGGTGATAGGAAGTTAACCACACAGACCTCATGTCTTCTGACCACTATATCCCCACTTCCCCATTGTTCCATACACACACCCACACACAGGGACAATGTACTCTTAAGTGTAAGGGTCTGAGAGAAGGAAGAAATATCTATGCTTTTAATATGAACCCACCAAAGACATACTCTTACTCTACTGTCCAACAACAATTTCACTTCTCAAGATATTTTTCAACAAAGCCTCATTGGGCTTCTTTCCTCTTTTGTAACTCATCTTTGTCAGCATCTTTCACACACATACACACACCAACACACACGCACACCTACACACCCACCCCCACACCCCCACACACACACTGCTCAGTGACCCCAGGAAAGTTCACATAAATAGAATAAGAAAGAATGAAGGGACTCAAAGAGCTGCAACTCTGAGTCTGTGTACATGGGACCCAGTAGTCTATGTGCTTGACAGAGCCCCAGAGGTACAAGTAGCCCTAGGAGAGGTCTCATCCCAGCAAAGCTTGGAGCATCTGGACTTTTCTGTGCCCGTTCAGACCAGTGACACTCTTAGGATAGATATGGCAGCACCAGCCCATACCAGGTCTCTCTCCTCCCTGCTTCATAGGTGATGTAGTCTCCTTAATCCCCCCTTACACAGGCAGGCCAGCAACACTTGAACCCAGACAGATTGCCCAGTACATACCTCCACTTTTCTCAGTAGTTTCCTGGGACTCTTCATTTTCTAGATGTTTCCTCTTTTGCCGTCGTTTCATAATACCAGGGATCCTTTAGAAGGTGCCCATTGTCCAGCTTATCTTTTTCGCTTGAGGTTGACCTTATTGACTCTTAGGGAATTTGTCTAAATGATTTGTCTAAATGAAACTGGTCAAGTCTCCTAAATGAAGAAGCCTGTAACAACCACTTAGTGAACCAGCAGCACTGCCCAGTGCTCACTATACCACAGGGCTGTTAAGGTTCAAAGGTCATAAGGCTGGCAGCAGGATTCTCTGATCTGAAGGATGACATCAGAGCATTCTGTGGATCCAGATCCAACACAGTATCTGCAACTGCAGAGATAACATTTTCCAGAACAATTCCATTTCCCAAAGGAATCTTCCCAACTAATTCAACTTTCATGTCTTTCAAATGTGGCAGGATTTTTTGAGATGTTAAAATGTTTCTGATTTGCTTTGTTGTTTTGGTTTGGTTTTCTTTTCTCCTTTTTTTTTTTTTTTTTTACCCTTTCCCTCTGCATTCAAGCAGGTAGAAAACTGTGTTCATTGCTTGGGGGAGGGAAACAGGAGGGCTGAAAGCAGAAACAGCTTGTTGATGACCTTAGCTTTTATTTCTAAAATCCCAGGCTCCTCAGAAAAGGGAGAACACTTGGCAGAACATAACAGAGGGAAGATTTTTTGAGATTAGGTGCTTCTTTCTTACCCTACTAGAGTGTTGAGAGCTGCTAATTAAGTCAGAAAGAGGTGTCTGTGAATCATAGAGGAGAAGAGCCCTATGAAGTGTGACTAAAGAAGGAGACATGGCAAAACCCCAGGAGGGACTTGCTGTATTATGAAGAGAAGCAGAATCATGGCAACCTGTCTCAAGCATGGCACAAGAGCCACCAACCCTAAAGGAGCCATGGCAACCGAACCGATGGATATCTAAATTACTACCTGTGTGCCCCAACAACCGCTGACCAGATTCTCACACCTCCATGCTCAAACCTGGACTTTATGAATGGTTTCTGGATACAGAGAGATGGCAGTCCCACCCAGACACCAGTGGAATCAAGTCTTAAAATACAAATTATTGTTAGGTGCTGCCAAGTTGGTTCTAACTCTTAGTGAGCCTATGTAGATATTTATATTTTTAAAATGGCATACTATTTATTGTACACCTCTGCTAATAGGCTGAAATTTGTGACAGTTGCAAGTGGCAACCATTTGGGTCCTCTTGATTCCAACTGTGAAATTAGAGATGTATCATTTTGAGGCAGAAGCCACCATCCAGTAGGAGCCTTGGTGTGCAGGTGGACTCCCAAGTCACAGTTGGTATTAAAAATACTCAATGGACTAAGGTGTGTCCCAATTTGAAAGGATACTGCACAGTTTTTTTAAGTCCCTGGCAGATAAAGAATGAGGATAGGGCAAATGTAGCCTTGTTATAATTTGCCAATGAGATTAAATCTTCCAGCATTCCTAGAAAAACAAGAGGAAGAAAGATTATTTTTTAACTTTTGTTGTAGAATTTCAAATATACACATAAGTAGAGAAAGCACAGCCCCATGTACACATCACCTAGCTTTAACCATCATCAATATTTTGCCCTTCTTGTTTTACCTACTACATACATACACATACACACATATTTTTAGTTTTTTGTTCTTTTCTTTTTCATTTATTTGGGGAGAAAAGCGGAGGGGTGGCTGACGTATTTTGAAGCAAAACTCAGGCATTGTATCATTTTTCTTACATATGCACCAGTATGTATCTCTAATAGAGTAAAAAAAAAAAAAAACTTTTCTTTTTACCATAATCATATAATTATCTCACCCAACAAATTTAAGCTTAATTCCTTCATATCATTTGATAACAAGCTATACTCAATATTCTCCAACTTTTCCAAATTTTTTTGTACTTGCTTTATTAAAATTAGGATGCAAAAAGGATTCAGACTTTAAAAAATTGGCCAATGTATCTTGTACACACCCTTGTTATGGTATATATTTTTTGAAGAAACTAAGTCATTTATTATGTAGAATTTGACACAATTTACAGTTGGGTGATTATATCCTTGCAATGTCATTTAACATGTTCTAACACAGTATCTGCAACTACAGAGATCCTACTTTTAGGAACAATTCTTTTTTCCCAATGGAAAGTCTCCAATGAATTCAACTTTCAGCCTTCCTGTTGAGGTGGTATCAGAGACAGCCAAGTAGGCAGCATGTACTTTCATCCCTATTCCCCTACCTGGCAGTAATGAGAAGTCCCTCCCTCTTCCCACTGGGATGATGACAAAGGAGATTTAATTGATTCAAGGAATTTTTCAATTTCATTTTTTACTTTTTCTATTACCCAGTCGTTTTTTAAGGAGGGTGTTATTCAGTGTCCATGTGTTTGCTCTTTTTCCATTGATCTTCTACTGTTGATTTCCAATTTTAAAGCATTGTGATCTGAGAAGATGCTTTGCAGTATTTCAGTGTTTTTTAATTTATTGAGGCTTTCTCTGTGGCCTAACATATGATCTATCCTGGAGAATGTTCCATGTGCACTGGAAAAGAATGTGTATTGTGCTGTTGTTGGGTGAAGTGCTCTGTAGTTGTCTGTACAGTCAAGTGGGTTGATTGTATTGTTTAGTTCTTCTGTGTCATTGTTGAGTTTCTTTCCAGTTGTTCTATCTTTCATTGAAAGTTGTATATTAAATTCTCCTAGTATTACTGTGAATTCATCTATTTTTCTTTTCAATTCTGTCCAAGTCTGCTTTATGTATTTTTGGGTTATTTCATTGTGTATGTAGAGCTTTTTAATACTTTCCCAAGCAAGACAGAGGCCAGGTGGCCCAAGAGGCCCTTCAGGATGCCAAGGACCAGAGAAATGATACCTGCAGCACGGCTGTGAAGCAGAAGTCCTGACTGAAGAGCTGTATCCTGAGTCATTTCTGAACTTGAATTGTAAGCCTTCATTCCCTAATAAACCTCATAAACATTAGCAAATAAAAGAATAATAATAACGAGGTCTTTTGCAGCAGATTTGCCCAATGCGATAAAAGAAAAGCATACACAGATGGTAAATAAGCACATGAGGTGCTATCCAATAGCATTAGTCATCAGGAAAATGCAAATTAAAACCACAATGAGATATCACTACATACCTACCAGGATGGCTAAAATAAAAGTGAAAACATCAAATGCTGGTGAGGATGCAAAGAATCTAGATCATTCATACATTGTTGATGGGAATGTAAATGGAATGGGTGTTTAAAACATTTTGAGAGTTTTTATAAAAGTCAACAAAAGATGCAACTACTATACAACCTAGCAATTGTGTTTTGGGACATTTACCCCAGAGAAATGAAAAATCTGTACACAAAAACTTGTATGCCTAATTTATAGCAATTTTATTCATAATACCAAAAATCTGGAAACAACTCAGATGTCCTTCAGTGGATGAATGGTTAAGTATACTGTGGTATATCTATTTCATGGAAAAGTATTGTATTTATGTGCCATCAAGTCAGTTCCAACTATTAGTGACCCGATGTACAACAGAACAAAACACTGCTCAATCCAGCACCATCCTCACAATCCTTGCTATGCTTGAGCCAACTGTTGAAGCAACTGTGTGATTCCATGTCATTGAGGGTCTTCCTCTTTTTCACTGACCCTCTACTTTACCAAGCATGATGTCCTTCTCCAGGGACTTGTCCCTCCTGAGAACATGATCAAAGTACATGAAACAAATTCTTGCCAACCTTGCTTCTAAGGATCATCTGGTTATACTTCTTCCAAGACAGATTTGTTCATACTTCTACCACCCCATGGAACATTCAATATTCTTCACCAACACTATAATTCAAATGCATCAATTATTCTCCATTCTTCCCTAATTCATTGTCCAAATTTCATATGCATATGTGGGTACTGAAAATATCATGACTTGGGTCAAGGGTACCCTAGTCCTCAAAGTGACATATTTACTCTTTAATGCTTTAAAGAGTTCTTTTGCAACATATTTGCTCAGTGTAATATGTTTTTGATTTCTTGACTGACACTTCCAGGGTTGTTGATGTGGATCCAAGTAAAATTAAATCCGTGACAACTTCAATATTTTCTCTGTCTATTATGCTGTTGTTTATTATGCTTATGTGGTCCAGTTGTGAGTATTTATTTTCTTTATGTTGAGGTATAACCCATACTACAGGTTGTAGTCTTTGATCTTCATCAGTAAATATCTTCACTTTCAGTAAGCAAGGTTGTGTCATTTGCATATTGCAGGTTCTTCATAAGTCTTCCTCCAAACCCGATGTTTTGTTCTTCTTCATATAGTCCAGATTCTTGGATTATTTACTCAGCATATAGATTTCATAAATATGGTAAAAAGATAAAACCTAGATACATACCTCTCCTGGTTTTAAACCATGCAATATCCTCTTGTTCTGTTTGAACAACTGCTTTTCAGTCTGTGTGTACATGTTCCACATAAGCACAATTAAGTGTTCTGAAATTTCCATTCTTTGCAATGTGATCCATAATTTGTTATAATCCACATAGTCAAATGACTTTGTACAGTCAATAAAACACATGTAAACATCTTTCTGGTATTCTCTTCTTTCAGCCAAAATCCATCTGATTTCACCAATGATATCCCTCATTCCCCATCCTCTTTTGAATCAGGCTTGAATTTCTGACAGTTCCTTGTTGATGTACTTACTACTGCAACCATTTTTGTATGGAATACTACTCAGCAATAAAAAGGAAAAGAAAAAAAAAGTATTGATAAACACAACAATGATAAATATATCTCCGGGGGGGGGGGAGGCTTATCCCAAAATGTTAAGTACTGTATGATTCATTTATACAACATTCTTGAAATGACAGAGTTACAGTAATAGAAAACAGACTAGTAATTGCCAGATTAGTGGTCTCTTCTCTTTAAGAAGAGTGTCAGGAGAAAAATGGACATGCCCATAAAAGGACAGCATGATGGATCCTTGTGGTGATATAATTGTTCTTATTTGGACTGTTATCAATGTCAGTACCCTGGTAGTGACACTG